CTGCCACCTGCCCCACAAGGGCAAGGACCTGAGTTCAATCCCTGTTACCAAAAAAAAAAAAAAAGTGGATGAAAGGGTATATGAGAGATTGTTGTGCTATTTTAACAACTTCTCTGTAAGTTTGAAATAATTTCAAAATAAGTAAAAAGGACACAAAGCTTTATGAAGTTTGATCCCACCCATATTAAAATTAAAAAAGGAAAACCATATACATATGATTTATATAGTGTGTGTGTATATATATATATGTGTGTGTATATATATATGTATATACCTGTGTATGAGGTACAGTGTGATATTCAATGCATATATACACGGTACAATGATCATACTGGTTTTAAATTTTGTTTTGTTTTGGTGTTTCATGGAGCTGGTGGAAATGCTCCACCACTAAGTTACCGGCCAGCCCTATATTATTTATTTATTTTTTTGGTGCTAGGGATCAAACTCAGGTCCTTGTGCTTGTGAGGCAGGCAGCTAACCACTGAGCTAAATCCCCTGCCCTGGCCCTATATTATTTAAGTTGAGGTGAAATTCATAAAACATCAGATTTACCTCAAGTGAACAATTTGGTAGCATTTAGTACATTTACAATGTTGTGGAATTACCATTACTACCATATGTAGCTCCAAAACATTCTCATCCCCTCAGGACACCCCATATCCCCTACTTGCCTCTTCTCTGGCCCCCTGTAACCACCAGTCTGCTAGGTATAAATTTCCTTTTCTGGTTATTTCATGTAAATGGATCATAAAATATGTGGCCTTTGTGTCTGCTTCTTTCACTTAGCATCACACTTTCAAGGATGATCCATCATGTAGTACTCTGTATCAGTGCTTTTTTTCCTTTTTATGGCTGAATAATATTCCACCGTGTGGAGATGCCACATTTTGTTTATCCCTTCATCCCCTGATGTACATTGGGATAGAAATTAGGGTTGTTCCCTGCTTCTGGCTGTTGTGAACAGTGGGGTCTTGTGAACATGTTTTGTTGGAGTCACTGTTTTCAGTTACTTCATGTTGGGACCCTGGCTCCTTAATCCTTCAGGGCACTGTCTGCCAGGTGTGGCAAGACCACCCTAAAGGACACAGGCAAAACTGGATCCTATCGCTCTTGGAGAGGATAGCGCTGGGGTTCTCTCGTAGGCCACAAGGTGGCGGCCACACTCAGGAAGTGCCTCAATCAGCAGGACTGGCCAACTGGGTGAAAAACTCATAGGGTTCTTTATTGAGCCAGAAGCCAACCATTTCTTCTTGGAGACCCAGCAGGGCTAAATCCAGAGACAGCAGCTTTAAACCCAGTATTCCTGTGACTGACCCACGTCCCGACGAGATTACGATGTTCATAACCTGAGAACTCGTGTTTTTCCTTCAGACAGCTACTTAAGGTTCTAATTGGTTCCTGCCACTGAAAGGACAAGGAGATTAAGTGCCTGGGATGTCAGAATCAAAGTTGTAGGCAGTTCTTCATAGACTTCCTTTGGTATCCGTTGGTTTACAGAGCCAGTTCTCCTTTAGTGAGTCTGACTCACATGCCTGGCAGACAAGAATTACATCTCCCCTTTTTCTAATTGTCCCAAGGAGGTTCTTTGCAGCACTGTTTACAGTACTAAAAACAAATGGCAAGGACACCTGGCATGGTGGCACATGTGTGTGATCCCAGCACTTGGGAGGCTGAGGCAGGAGGACTGCTGCAAGTTCGAGGCCAGCCTGGGCTGCATAGTGAGTCCAAGATCAGCCTGAACTACACAGGAAGATCACCTCAAAAAACCTTGGGGGTGGGGGTGGAAGGGGCTGGGAATATAACTCAGTGTGAAGGCTTTGGGTTCAATCCTCTAGTACTAGAAAAAGAAATCAGTGTCCTTTAATAGGGACTCTAGTTTCCTCTTCTTATGGCAACAGCTTATTTTCTTTTAGGGGTCCTTTTCTCATTCTCAGGCCATGCAGACCAGGGTGCTCTACTAATGGCGAAAGAGGTGGACCATACGACTCAGGTCTAAGCTGATCATCGTATCTCTTCTCTGGCCAATGTGATGGGAGTGGGACTGGGCCCGTCAGCCTGAACCCCAGGTTCTTTTCAGGGACTAACAAAAAATATGTGGAGGGCAGAGGGGGCCTTTCTCCTTGCCAGTGAACTTTAGCCTAGCATGATATGAGGCTGGACTTCTTGAGGGCAGCTGGCATAAACTGGGAGACCTATTCTACAACATAGTTGACTCTGGTTAATAATGTATTGTATTCCTGAAATTTACTGAGAGAGTAGATCTTAAGTGTTCTCACCACAGATACACAAGGCAAATAGGTGAGATGGACATGTTGATTAGCTTCTAGCAGACATTTTATAATGTATACATATAACAATATACACATATAGCATATGATGTTGTATATCCTGGACATACACAATGTCAATTATACCTCAATAAACCTGAGGAGGGGAATACTTCAGTTGGAAGCATCAGAAAGCCAAATTCAGTCTGATGTAAGAAAAGGGCATAGAGCATATAACCCAGCTAATAGGGATGCAGAGGCAAGAGGATTGCAAGTTCAAGGCTGGCCTGGGCAACTTAGTGCAACCCTGTCTCAAAATAAAAAATAAGGGGCCGGGGATTTAGCTCAGTGGTTCTGCCGCCTGCCTCGCAAGCAGAAGGTCCTGAGTTTGATCCCCGGTACCCGCCCCCCAAGAAAAATAAATAAAAAATAAAAAGGGCTGTGGAGGTAGCTTAGTGGTAGATGCTCCTCAGTGCAACCCCCAGTACAGGAAGGAAAGCAGGGAGGGAGGCAGGCAAGCAGAACAGACATTGGCTTCCATATTCCACAAGTCTTGGGTAGCTGCCTTCTCCTGTGGCTTGATTCAGAGGTTCAAAGAGTTTCCAGCTATCTCTTGGCTCCACCTTTGCCACACTGTCTTCATTTTCAGCTGTATCCATTTTGGATACAAGGGTCAAACGTTTAAATTTTCAAATGAATTGTAACTCAAAAATGATCACAAACATTACAACTTCTGCAATTCTCCTCTTTTCACTCTGATTCTATTCTTCTGACTGCCAAGAACACCAACTACTAACTTGCCAGGATCCTTGATTAAATGAAGGTGGCATCCTGAATAGGAGACTCAGAGGTCTGGTTCCTGTAGACAGACCCAGAGTCTGGTTGTCCACTCAGTCAGCTGTGAAATTGGCCAGCAGGACTCTGTCTTATTTGGTCCTGCCATGATTTTGAACTATCCCTCCTCTCAGGGAACAGAGTAGGGGTTATGAGTCATGTTTGGGTTTTATCTCTAGTGCCTGGCTCGGGGCCTGCCCAGGAATCCAAGCCAGAGATATGTGTGATTAAATGCAGGAAACCAGAGCTATCTACCCATGGAAGAGTGGTAGTGATCGTACACACTATGACACACCAGCCGTGGGACAGCAATCCTGGCTGGCAGCATTTCCCTGAACTGATGAGATGGAGGAAGAGTTACCCAAGAAGTTGAGAGCAGCTGTCTTTAATGGGCTTTAGTCCAAAATACAAAGCAGGTGCTACAATGCTAATACAATTGTAAACTGTGGCCTTTTCTTCCCTAGCACAGCAAGTTACAGAGAGGTAAGACATTCGAATCTGTTTTTTAAAGAAATCACTGACAGCAAGTTGTACTACTGCAGTTTTTAAAAGTTTTCCACTGGGCTGGGGATTTAGCTCAGTGGTTCCACCACCTGCCTCAAAAGTGGAAGGTCCTAAATTCAATCCCCGGTACCAAAAAACAAAAACAAAAAGCTTTCCACATTCCCTTCTCTCCATCAGTGTCAACTGAATTTCTTGACTGTGAGATTTTGTGGGAGGCTCTCAATGTACAAGGGTGGTTTTTCTTGGCTTCTCTGCTGATCTCCATGGACCTTCCAGAGGTAGGTGGGGAAGGAAGCTTGCTTGGTTCTTTATGAGTTCTTCTGAGGAACTTTGACTGTGACCTGAAAGAAGGGTACAGAGAAGCTGTTAAATCTTCCTGTTTCCTGGTGTCTGGCAGGAGCTCCCCGAGTAGGAGCAGAGGGGCCTTCTCTTATGTCTAACCTCTCGCTGGCCAACTGGCCAGTCAGAGCTACTGCCAGAGCCTACCCTACATGGACCTGTATCTTCTTAACCCAGTGGTTCTCAACCAAGGGCACTCAGGTCCCACAGGAGACAACTGGCAATGTCTAGACACTTTTTTGATTGTAACAGGGGTGGCACTATTGGCATCCAATGAGTTGGAGTTGTGCCTGCTTCGACAGCACACATACTAATGGGTTGGAGTTAGGGATGCTGCTAAACATCCCACACTGCACAGGGCAGCCTCTGCAAAAGACTTACCCAGCCCCCCAAAATAAAGGCAAGGTAGGGGCCAGGGATTTAGCTCAGTGGTTCAGGTGCCTGCCTCACAACCGCAAGGTCCCAAGTTCGATCCCCAGTACCAAGAAAGAAAGAAAGAAAGAAAGAAAGAAAGAAAGAAAGAAAGAAAGAAAGAAAGAGAAAGAAAGAAAGAAAGAAAGGAAGGCAAGGTAGAGAAACCCTATGCTACATCTATATTTTCCTCCACAAGAATTAAAAGGTGAAAATAACTGTGCTTAAGCTCACAGATGTCTCAGTGTGTTAAATGGGAAGAGTCCAGATTCAGATGGGGCTGTTTTGAATCCCAGCTCTGCCCTCTAACAGGGCAAGTGTTTTCTCATCTGTAAAATGGGGACAAGAATATGCCCTCCTTCCACAGGAAGCCACACACACAGTGCAGCACAGATTCTGGCACAAAGCCAGCACTTGGTAAAAATGAATACATTCATCAGCCTCCGAATGCAAACCTGACTGTCTTCTTTTAAAATCCCCATTTTTTTTCATTTGATTTTTTTTGTGTCTCCAAAGCTCAAAATACAAGCATCTTTGGCCAGGCATGATGGTACAAAAAAAAAAAAATTTCCTTCCCTCCACCTCCACAATCCCTGTCATCTCTTCCCCTGATCCACTGCCCCTCTTTCCTGGATGGTCCATTTTCTCCAGAGCAGACAGGCGGGGCTTTCTTCCATCCTTTTTTTTTGGTACCGGGAAAGACTCAGGGACTTTCACTTGGCAGGCAGACACTGTGCTGCTGAACTACATTCCTGGCCCCTTTCTTCCATCTTTAAACAGCTTTGGGAAGAGTTTATACATCATACAATTCACACCTGGCTTTTAACATACTGTATTTAGTGTTATGCAACCATGCCCATACTCTAACCTTGGAACATTTTCATCATCTCCAAAAAATACCTTGCACCCATTAACAGTCACTCCCCAGTCCTGTCCCCTGCACCCTCCTTCCAGGTCCCAGGCCACCATTAATCTACTCTCTGATTAAGCAGAGTAATTTTTTTTTTTTTGGTACCGGAGATCGAACTCGGGTCCTTGCACTTGTGCAGCAGGCGGTGAAACCACTAAGCTAAATCCCCGGCCCAGCAGAGTAATCTTTTAAAAATGCAAAATAGAATCACCTCACTCTCCTGCTTCAGATGCTTCCACAGCTTCTTGTGGTTCTTATGAAAGAGATCAAACCTCGTATCACAGCAAAAGAGCCGTACATGGGCTGGTGATTTAGCTCAGTGGTGCCACCGACTGCCTCGCAAGCACAAGGTCCTGAGTTCGATCCCCAGTACCGAAAAAAAAAGAGCCCTACATGGTCTGGCCCCACTCACTCCTGAAGCACTGTCTTCTACTACTAGAAACTTGCTGGTAATTCCTAGAAAAGCTAGGAAAAGTTTCTTGCTACCAGTGTTCTCAATAAGCCAAGCTCTTTGTCTAAAATGTTCTTCATCCCTGCACCTACTCCTGCTCATCCTTCCAGGTCAGTTTAAATACTAACTTGTCTCGTAGGCATCTTGTACATCCCCTTAGCATCAATCATATTCCAAGACTTAGGACCTTGCATCAACTGAAGATGGATCTTCCTATCCAAACACAGCCTCCTTCCTACCCACAAGGCCATCCTGCTGTATATGAGCATCTTGTATGAAGTATGTATGCCAGGAACTGGGTAGGGTGTGCAGGAGACTGTATGCAGTATGTATGCAGGAAACAAGACTGGCTGTAAGCTGATCTTTGTCAACTAGTATGGTGGAGACACGGGCTTATCACAACACTATTATACCTACTCTTGTATATGATGGGAAAATTTCTCAGTAAGCTCCAAACATGTTTATTTTATTCCAGTGAACATAGTTATCTTCTTAGTCTGTCTCAGGCTTAGTGTTATCATAGGGAATGAAGCCCCCATTTCCCCACCTCACCTGCCTCACTAATGGGCTGCCCTAACTCTTCTCTTTCCCAATTTTGGGAAGGTGCAACTTGGTTCATCCTTCTCTCTTTCTCTTTTTTGTTTTGTTTTGTGACAGGCTCTCACTATGTAGTTCAGGCTGGTCTTGAACTCTCTATATAGCCTCCCACTCATTTATACTATGAACTCACTATATAGCCTCGAACTCATGGTGATCCTCCTGCCTCAGCCTCCCAAATGCTGCGATTACAGACATTTGCCACCACACCTGGCTCCATGTCTCTTCTTTAAGTACCAAACTGTGTATATGTTTCTTGGTTAAACTGTAACTAGTTTCATTATAGAGAGAAGACAATGTTTACTTTGGTGTATTTCCTTCCTATTTTTTATAAGTAAATGTATGTGTCCTCATATTGCTCTAAAATTAGGCCTATATTGGATATATTATTCTTTATGTCCTGCTTTTAAACTTTAAAATATGAGCATTTTCCTATTATGGACATTTAAAGGCTACCTAGTTTAGTACTTCATGATTGGACTGATTCATAGATTACTGGGCATTTAGGTTACATTTGATTTTTTCCTCTTAGGGTGAGATATTGCTGTCATAAGTATTTATGGCATAATTCCTTCTTTGTATTTCTCAGTTTCTCTAGCTATGTTCCTGTTGGTGAAATTGCAAAATCAAATTGTCCATGGATATGGTCTGGCCCTCGATATCTAATTCCTACTCCCCTGGAAGACTTTTCTTGCTGTGTCCGCTCACTTGCAGCTGTAGGGATCTTTCCTTCAGCTCAGCTGTCTAGGCCTTGGCATATAACAAAGCCCAGCACAAGATTATGTAGGCCTGGTGAACATTAAGACCCCAGATATTGGGTCTTCACCTCTTTTGTGGCTTCTGTAGATTAATCCCAGCACTCTTGGAAGCTGAGGCAAGAGGATCAAAAGTTGGAGCCCAGCCTGGGCAACTTAGTGAGAACTTGTCTGAAAATAAAAAATTAAAGAGCTGGGGATGTACCTCAGTGTGAAGGCCCTAGTTTCAATCCCCAGCATGTATACAAGAAGCAAGTAATAACTACTGATTCCCTCTAACTCAAGGAGCCTCGTGGTACCCCAGGGGCCCAGTACTCACGGTCTTCACTTCGGTGTACGCTTGCAGGCCATACTCCCCCAGCTCCCGGCCACTCCCAGACATCTTATAACCACCAAAGGGGGACTGGGCCCCAAACACATTGTAGCAATTGACCCTGTAATTGAAGTAAGAATGTCAAGATTGCTCTAGGAGATATATATTCCACCCTAGGGCCCCCTACATGGCTGTAAAATCTCCCGGAGAAAAATGTAAGTGTACCGTCAGTGTAACAGTCAGCTAGGGAGGAGCCCAAAGCAAGCCAGTGAGACAGCATTAAGGCACCTCTGTCCTTCATGATGTGGTCACAGGGAGGTGTCAATAACACTGCACTATATGATAGCTTCCAATCTGAACTAGTCTTTTTTTTTTTTCAGTACCGGTGATCGAACTCAGGACCTTGTGTTTGCGAGGCAGGTATGGCACCACTGAGCTAAATCCCTGGCCCTTGAACTAGTCATTTTGAATCATTAGGTGATGGGGTTTTTCCCCCCCAAATTTAAAAAAGTATTCAATTTTAACTGAATTTAAAATTTAACTTTTTAAGGTTTACAACTCAGAGCTTTATGGCATATTCACAGTTGTGGAACCATCACCACTGTCTAATTCCACAATATTCCTATTACCCTAGAAGCCCTGGGCCCAATAAACAGTCCTCCCTATCTCCCCTCCTCCAGCCCTGCAACCACTCGTCTATTTTCTGTCCTCATGGATTTGCCTATTCTGGGCATTCTGTAAACAGATAGCATGTGTCAGTAGTGTCTGGCTTCTTTCCTTTAGTATCGTATTTTCACATCCATGCTTCAGCAGACATCTGGATTTCACTCCTTTTTACAGCTCACTCATATTCCATTGTGGATAGGAACCCAGTCATCCACCCTCCTCCCCTCAGTCTAAGAGCACATTTTGTTTAGCCGTTCATCCAGTAATGGACATTTGAGTTGTTTCTACTGTTAATGAAAGATGCTGCTGTGCCCATCTGGGTGCATGTTTTTGTGTGAATGTGTTTTATTTCTTCTAGTCATATAGCTAGGAGTGGAATTGTTGTATCATACAGTGACTGTATGTTGAATTTTTGAGGAACTTTCAGACTCTTCCACAAGAACATTTTCCATTCTGCCAGCTGTGTATGAGGATACCAATCTTTTCACTTCCTCACCAATACTTATTTTCTGTTTTTTAACATTAAAGCTGCCCTAGTGGGTATGAAGTAGGTACCAAGCTTTTTAGATCAGCATTGTGATGGTCTGTGGCCCCAGCTCTGGTCTCTGGTCCTTGGCCCATCTAGGAAAGGAGCCTAGTCATCCCTCTGTGTGCTCAGGAGAGCTGCAGAGGCATCTGACTGCAAGAAGCTTAACTTCCTGCAGGGTAAGTGGCTGGAAATCTCAGGCTATCCACTGGCTATGACACATCCTGACCCAGGAGAAACTGGACAAGCACCCCAATTCTGAGGGTCCAGAAGATGCTGAATTGGGGAGTCTTGGAAAGGGTGTGGTGGCTGCTCTTACCACACGGTGCCGGCTTGGAGGGCTTGGGACACATAATTGGCCTTGTCTATGTCCTTTGTGAAGACAGCTGCAGCCAGCCCATACTTGGAATTGTTGGCTCTCCCAACAACTTCCTCGATGGTCTTGAACTTCAGGATCTGCATCACTGGCCCGAAGATCTGTGGGGAGAGAGCAGAGTAGGAGGGTGGAGAAAGTGCTGAGCTGGTGATCCAGGTAAAAGCCCCAGACGGAACCTACCAATCCAGAGTGAGATGGTGGCCCCCCAGCTCCCGAGACATGAAGAGGAGGAAGTTCACGGGTATTGCTACCTTCTGTGCACCCTATGTGTTACCTACAGTACTTATTTCTAAACAGTCCTGCCAAATGTGGGATGTATCATTGTATCACATGTGACAGGCAGATTTAGTGTCATAGAATTTAAGCCAATCATCCATCAAATTTTATCTAAGTGAAAGGCACAGACCAGACACTGAAGAAAGGACTATGAATGAAATAGTCTCTGCTCTCAGGATGTCCCAGGCTTGCATTTCTCCTGCCCTGTTCCTGAATGGGCCATTTCTCCAAGGCCCTCTGACTCATTTTCATGGACAGGATATTTAAAAACCAAGACATTAGGTGCTAGGTGCACTTGTTATGGTTGGGTATCGCTGGCCTGGGGTCTTCTCAGAGGAGACCACTGGACAGGGGCCGACTATAACTGATCATAATGTAATCAAGTGGCAATGTGATCAGCTGCACACAGTGAGTATAGGAACCTGAGGGGCCTAACTGGAAGTTAGGGAGGAAGTAGAGGGTGTCAGGGAAGACCACAGAAGTGACAGCCACCCTGTGATACAACGAGAGCAGAAAGTAGCTGACCAACAAGAGGGTGAGAAGCAGAGAGGAGGGAAATAAGAGTCCCAGACACAAGCACACCCTACATCCTTTCTCATAAATCCTATTATCCACTAAAAGGAACTAGGGCTCTTTGAAAAAAAATGGCTGGTTCCAGGAAGAAAAAGGGTAAAGATAGAGGTGGGAGAAGATGGGCAGGAACTCCCATGGTCAGGTGAGAACAGTGAGTTGGGATATCAAGTGCCTCAGGTGCTTGCAAAGCACAGGCTCTTGCCCTGCCAGGAAATTGCTATTTGAGGTTTTTATAAGAAAAGAATCAAACTAGTCATAGTGGGGTAAATGCAGAACTCAGCTGGACTTTATTACCCTGTTGTGCATTTACTATTATTTTATTTGGACTTACACTTGAGAGGGGGTGGCACCATGGTTTCCCTCCCTAGGGCCTCTCCAGGGTTTAATGCAGCTGTGAGCAGTGGAGTCCTGACACCTCTGCATCTCCAGGGTTTCAGAGAGCCTGGCACACAGCAGGCATTCACTTACTGTTTGGGAAATTATGGTGGTTGAATCAGAAAAGCTGCTGCCCTGCATTCACAGTGAGCTCGGAGGGGAGACTACCAAACCAATACCATCAGGCAGAGACGCAGCCCCTGGGTCTAATCCAATATCCTGCTTATATCAAGGCCATAGGAAGGGCCACACATCATTCCTAGATGAGTGGCTCACTGGGTCTGTGGTCTACACTAGGGAATTCAGATGTCTGAGACAACCAGTAGTCAAAAGAGGCTGAAGAAAATAGCCAGGTGTGGCAGTCCACAACTATAATCCTGGCACTTGGGAGGCTGAGGTAGGAAGACTGCCGAGACCTTGAGGCCAGCCTGTGCTACACAGTGAGATCAAGGCCAGTCTCAACTACATATTGAAAGTCCTGACAAAAAAAAAAAAACTAGAAGAGAAGACCATCAGATGCAAACTGTGAATGTCCTGTTCTATGCACAGGGCTGATCCAAAGTCAGTTGGTGGGTCACAATGTCAAGATGCAGGACCAAGTTATTCACCCTCCTTTCCGAAGTCTAAGAGGATTCCCCAGAGCATTGGCCCCAGCTGCTAACCTCCTCCTTCGCGATGGTCATGCCATCTTGCACGTCTCCAAACACAGTGGGCTGGATGAAATAGCCACGGTCAGCAGCGGCCCCTCCACCACACAGCAGCTTTGCACCGTCTTCCTTCCCGGATTTTATGTAGCCAAGGATCTTCTTGAACTGAGTTTCATCTACCTGCAGAAGGAGCCCAGAGCACTGGAGATGTGAGATTCAGGCTTCCAGCTGAGAACCACACAGGCCATGAGGCAATTGTAAAATGGGCTAAAGTATTGAATTTGCTAAGCAAGGTCAGAAGAGGAAATACAAAGGGATCAAGGAACATAAAATACAAGAAATGTTCAACTACATTAGCCATCAATAAATGCATATCAAACCTATTGTTTTTATTTTTCAACTATGAGATTAATAAAATTTTTAAAAATAAAACACAGATCGCAAGTGGAAGGACCCAAGTTTGATCCCTGGTACCAAAAAAAAAAAAAAAAAAAAAAAAAAAAAAAAA